GGCGGTTAGCCGAGCGCACGGAGGCGCCGGGGCAAAGCTCCGGCGCAGCGGCCCGCAGAGGGCCGAGAAAGATGCGAGAACGGCCGGGTTTGGCCGCTTCCGGGAGCCGTAGCGGAAGCAGGTCCGTGGGCACGTGAGACGGAAAAGGGCGGAAGCGCAGCTCTTGAACACAGAGCGCCGTAGGAAGACATTTTTGTTGTGGGCAAACTGCGCCGACAGCTGGTGACACTTCGGTGGCGTTTCCGCGTAGAGATCGTGATCTTAAAGAATGTCGTTTTGCTAGGCCAGTCTTCTGTAATCAGTTAAAGATAGACGTTTTTCCGGGCCACCGACTGCAGAATATTTAAGGCGCAAGGTTTAAGAATTTGTGTCGCCAAGTTTAAGAATTTGTGTAATTACTTAGCATAACTGTAGTGAATTCTTAACGCACTCTAATTTTGATAACTAAAGTTTTTAATGAACAGGCGTTGTCTTCCAAGATGAGAACGTTGAGAAAGGTGAAGTTGGGTTTCATAGTAGTTAGGAGCGTTATGAAGCTTCCAGAAAAATCTGAGTCTATCCACCAGTCTTCAGTTTCTCCATTCTTGAAGACCTCACCTGATATGAGAAACCCTTGGAATGTCTCCGTTTTCACAACCAACCAAAGATATGCACATGCATAATGTCCTCTAAAAACTAAAGACATTCCACAGAGGTTACCATTTTTTAAAATAATTGGGGAACCTTCTGAATTGTATTCTTGGGCCCCTTCTTCTTCTCTATCCTCTTAGGATCTAGGTTGGGCCAAGAATTTAACTGAGTTAAAACATATCAACAGTAAGAAATGTACAAGTTTTGTTCAGAAATTTTTGCATGTTCACTGGAATGTCACCAGAAGAGTTAAGAAACTGTTAGGGCCCAAAACTTACAAAGTAAGTTGGACAATTGTAAATTGTGGAAAGGGTTCAGACCAGGGCAGTTAATCCTGGGGAAATGACTAGGAAAGTTAAGGGTTAGTTTTACAAGTTTGGTTTGTGCTACTTCTCTAAGCCTCCCATCTGCCCTTCTCTGTTGATGTGAATGCCTTTCTCCCGGTGCAGGGAGGGTAGCTTTCACATGGAAGTTTATCTCCTGCTTTAAGAAGGAAAAAAAGAACCTAGAGTGCGCTTCTTGCATCCACTGTCTTTTAGTTTGGTTTGGTTTGGTTTGAAGTGTCTTTAACTCAAAATAATCCTTATGCCAAGGAAGCATATTTTAGGGCACCATATTCTGTTACCATCCTTTAAAACAATAGGCTGATTATAGGAATAATTTGTCATCCCAAGTCAACATTTTGGGGGAACATAGAGATCAAGCTGGGTAAGTCATTTATGATCAAAAGCTTTAGAAATGAGGGTTCATGACTTCCACTAACCCTTCCTCTTCTTAATTACTTTCATTACTTGCAATTTGGTTTTTTACTCCTGCCCCCATCAGAGAAAGCATTTTGAAATAACTTTCAAATGAAGATTGTGATCCGATTACCAAATCCAGTGCCTTCTCCTGTAATCTTGATCATCCTTTATCTTCCTTCATTTAATTCTGTTAAACTAAATGAAACAGAGTATTGTACATCAAAATACCAAACAGTATGTGGTAGTAGATTCTCAAAGCAGGGGTTGGAGGAGGAAAGACATTTCCTTTCCCTTATGTGGAAACTGTGCTCCTTTGTTTTGTACAATATTAGATTCATGTTGGATCTTTCTTCTGTTTTGTTGTTAATATAGGTGGTAAAGGGTGGGTGTGAGTTGCAAAAGGAAGAAACATTTAACAGAAAGAAAAAGTACTTTGTGAAAAAAAGTACATATATATATACACACACACATACATAGTATACATCATGATGAGGACTTTATGTAAAATGTGAAATTAAACTGAGAAACAAATTCAGATTTCATTGAAAGAGGCTTTAAAAACTGTGTCTGGATCCTGGGATGAAGACCAAATTTTGTGTGTGTGTGTGTTTGTGTGTGTGTAGATATTTTTTTCTTTTTTTTTTAAGAGAGATTTTTGCTATAGGGCACATGTGCTGGCCAGAGAGACAGAAAGAGAGAAATCACACCTACCTCCAGGGGGTATGGCCACGCTGCAATCCCTTTTCCTCCATTCTCTTCTAGGGATTTTGGGCACACACACACTTGCCTGACATGAGTTTTAAGCCGCCAGGTTTGGGATGCTAACCACAGTCAACTATATGGGAGTCCAGCCACGTAACCATTACTCTATCTGCTGGTCCCCCAAATTTGTATTTCTTATTATAACACAGATATCTGTAGATCACTGCTTATATTAGTATTTTAGAGGCTAAAAAGTAACGCCCGTTTGCTCACCAATATTTGTCTGATCAACTGTAAAAATACGTATCACTCCCATAGTGTTCAGTAAAACTACTTTCATATTAAATTTTAAAATGCTGACCATAAACATTTATTTGAGCAACAATTTTAATGGTCTTCTTAGAATTATCCCCCAGGATCACTGTATATTTAATGGTCTTAGAATTATCCCCCAGGATCACTGTATATTTAATGGTCTTCTTAGAATTATCCCCCAGGATCACTGTATATTCTATTTTTTCCCTTAGTGTAATATATATATATTTTTTTTTTTTGAGAGAGATTTTTGCTATAGGGTACATGCACTTGCCAGAGAGACAGAGAGAGAAAGAAATAACCCCATAGGAGGGATGGCCTCACTTCAATTCCTTCTCCTCCATTCTCCTCTCTCAAGGGAATTTGGGTACATATGCACCTGGTGTGAGTTTCAAGCTGTTGGGTCTGAGACTTGAACCACCGTTGGCCTGTGGGAGTCCAGTCCCTTAACCCCTAACCATCTGCTGGCCCCTCTTGGTTATATTTTTACTATTTGTATATTTTAACATAGCCTGAAAGTTTCTTACCTATGAAGTCTCATATTTTGTCTGTTAAATCATTTTTAATTTATTGAATTGTTTTCCTTGAATGGTGACTATTAATATTGTAATGGGAAACATTCATCAAACTATATGACCCATAATAACTATAATCTAAATGCTTTTCTTACTAATTTGTAAAAACTCCTTAAATACCTCAATAGAAAAATGAACAAATATATGATTAGGCTCTTCACAAGAAGGCAAAACCAAATATTCCTAATAAATCAGGGATGATTATTAATTAAAAGTGAATCTATTTTTACAAATTGAGACATCCTAAACATGAAACCCCAGATTAAAAATAAATTTGTCATTACAGTTACCTACAAATCCAAAGTAATGCAGTAATGTATAAAACATCTGGGATGATGAAATAGCCAGACGAGTTCAGTGTGTTAAATACTAGGCATTCAACCTCACTGATATTGAACGTGGTGTAAATTAAAACAGCCCAACAGGCAAAGATGTAAAAGAATGGCAATATCCAGTATTGGTGAAGGGATAGGGAAAGGAGTGTTTTCTTTACATTATGGATGAGGCTGAAAATTCTAACAACCTCTCTGGAAAGCATTTTTGTTTATATATGAAATGCCTTTGATTGTGTGAGTTCTTTGATTCTGTAGCATCTTTGCCTTTTAGAGATTTATCCTGAGGAAAAAATTAGACAAAAGTGAAATGCCACACATACTGTTTATCTGTAACAAAACTAAATTGTTCATCAATGGGGAGCTATTAAGCTGTAAATCCATTCAATGGCCTATGGTAAAAATGACATTGAGCTCTCCTTTACTGATGAGAAAATATGTCTACAGTGTATTGAGTTAAAAGAAAATCTGGTAACAGAATACTTTTATCTCAATTTCATTTAACTATATAAGGAGAAAAGTCTGGAAATATATATATCTTCTTTTTTTCTTTTTAAGAGAGATTTTTGCTACAGGGTGCGTGCACTTGCCAGAGAGACAGAAGGTGAGAAATCACTCCCCACAGGGGGGATGACCATGCTGCCATCCCTTCTATTCCATTCTCTTCTCGGGATTTTGGGCACGCACACGCACATGCGCCTGGCAGCATGATTTATAAGCCACCAGGTCTGGGCCAGCATGTGGAAGTCCACTGTTTAACCACTATGCCACCTGCTGGCCCCTATATAGCTTTCTTTCTTTTTTTCTTTTTTTTTGAGAGGTTTTTGCTATAGGGCAGTGAGTTTGTTCGAAAGGTAGACAGAGACGGAGAGAGAGAAAGCAAGAACTCACACCCCCCCCCACCCCGATGGCCACGCCACAGTCCCTTCTCTGGATCTTGGGCACGCATGCATCTGTGCCTGGCATGAGTTTAAGCCACTGGGTCCAAGACTCGAACCATGGTCTACTACATGGGAGTCCAGCAACGTAGCCGTTATGCCAACTGCTGGTCCCGGCCCCTATATATCTTAACAGTTATTTTGGGTCAGAGGTAAGGATTAAATTATGACACTTTTTGTAGTTTTTTTTCATAACTTCTATTATGTATTTTTTACACTGAACTTTTTTTCCCCCCTAAGATATTTGCTATAGGGCACATACTTCCCAGGAGAAGGACAGAGAGAGAAAATGAGAAATCACTCCCAGAGGGGATGCCCACACTTCAATCCCTTCTCCTCCATTTTTCTCTTTGGATCTTGGACACGCAAGCCCAACTGCCTAGTGTGATCTTCAAGCTGCTGGTCCAGGACTCAAACTTTAGCCAGCGATGTGGGAATCCAGCACTTCAACCACCATGCCACCTGCTGGCCCCCCAAATCTGTTACTTTTACAATCCATAAAAATTATTTCCATCTTGAAAAAAGACCTGATATAATTTTCCAACTTTATTCTTAGGTAATACAACAAAGTAACATTTTCGATAAAATTACAGAAATATTAGTATATCATGTAATTTTGTCAGGATGTAACAATATAAAATATTCAGTACATTTAAAATATATTTTATTTCGTTATAGCATAAATCTTAAATTAAGTTTAGTAGAAGTTACGTTTGGTACATAGAAAAACCTTTGTAGTTAGCAATAAAATTCAAATTTAAGCATTATTGCAATACATTTATAAATAAGTTACTTACTAATGTTTATCTCACAGAAAGACCTCTGAGAAATCAGTTTTTTAGCACAATGTGAAATTCCAAAGTCAAAGCCCCAAATTTAAGAGAAACAACTTATTTACATTTTATCTACAGAGTTTACTCTTCATAACTTTATAAGCTCATTCATAAGTATCTGGAAAATAATGCACATAATCTATTAGGTCATTTGGAAAGTCACGATGTATTTTTCTGTTTCTATGCAAAAATGCATCATGATTTTCCCGACAACCCAATGTATTTAAATGTCAGTTTCAGAAGTATGACTGAACAGCTGTTCATATGGCTTCACTGGAATTTAAGTTTTAGCATAACTTGTTTTCCTCAGAAGTTAAATACTGATAACAAAGCAAGAGAAGATGGAGGCTTGGGGACAAGCAGAGGACAGCCATTTGACCTTCACAGCAATCCAGGGCTTTTACTCATTAGTAAAGTTAGATGACCTATGGTCCTCTGTGATTTTGGACTTGGTCTATCGGGCCCTTGCCAAGAGCAATGGTTTCTGTCTTTTGAGTACATCAGAATCACACAGAGGGCTCGTTAGCACAGAGATTTCTGGGCCTTAGCCCCAAAGCTGCTGATGTTGTAGGCTGGAATGGGACCAAGGTTTTGCGTTTGTAACAGTTTCCTAGATGGTGGTGAGGAGGCTCTTCCAAGAACACACTTTGGGGACTACCAGATCATCAGGAAAGTCATGACACATTTTTGCATAGAAACACATAGAAAAACACGTCATGACTTCCCCAACGACCTACTACTTGCCTGAGAAGGTTTGTGGAGATCAGCTAGACCTGCCTGCCACTCTGATATCATTGGGCCAGCAGGACACTTTTAGAGCAGAAAAAGTCTTAATTGAGAAATCTCCGTAAGTAAATTAAAACGCGGCACATCTTAGTTGGAATGTCAAACAGCAATCACACAGGCAGTGAAGACTGAACCATCGCCAGTCCATGCTAGTCTCTGGAGTTACATTTTTATTTACAAAGTGACTGAGATTGAAATGATACCCCGAATTTAATATTAGCGCCACCGGCTCCACCTAGGTGGAGCAAGAAGCATCTTCAAAATTTTGTCACATGATGCATGACCTCTCAGATTCGTTGAATGGTGTTAGCATCAAGTATTAATGGTTTCTGAGGTTTTATAGATCTTAGTTTTCTTAATATTGTTCAGATCTTAGCTTCTGCGAGGCCAAAGAGAATCTAGAAGTCTTCAGCTTCCCTTGGGCATAAATGTTACTTTAAAACCTTTACTTGGGCCTGCTACATTGATGATGAAATGTAAAAGTGGTGACAAAGGAAGAAAAAGACAGGGGAAAAGTACCTCATGTGTTTGAGATTCTTAAAAGAATCAGTAATATTCTGGAATATTAGATCAGAGACATGTCCCCCTCTCTTTTTTCCTCCTCTCAGTATCTCTGTAATTTAGCGCAGTGTCTGGGACATGAATTGGTACTGCATAAAATGCTTAAATTGAATTAAGTAACCTTGGGAATGTATCAAAACTACAAAGCAAGCTTTAAGATAAGCAGCTGCCAAATTATACAATTTGCACCTTACCATGTTTACGCAATGGACTCTTCCAATATAGGAAGAATGTATAACTTAAAACTTTTTTTCACAAAGGAAAAATTAGAGAAGTAACAAAAAATAAATCTGTAAATCTCAGCGTAATGACATAGGGCAAAGAGAAAAATATTCTGAGCCTGATAAGCCAACAAGTACTTTGATTTGTTTCATGACTCATCGAACTACTGTGTAAGGTATGTACCAAGATTTATAGGGGTGGGGATGAAGTTCACATCTATTCAGTAGTGTCCTTGTGTTTTCTGTGGGTGTGCTGGAAACAAAAGTTAGTTTTCAGAATACGTGTCACAACATCCCATACAAATTAATTCACTAAGGGTCAAAATTTTATCGGCCTCAAATATAAGCAGGATCTATGGCAGCAGCAAAATTAGTTCAATGCACAAACAGAAATCTTCAGAGAAATACAAAACAAATCATACAACATATCCAAGGCTATTAGGGTTCCAGTTGGGAAACCCCATTTTGCCTTTAGTCTTGGATTTGTTTGAGAGTCCTAAAAACTTCATGAACTTCACTTCTGTGTTCCATCAGGTCTTAGGTCCCTCGACAGGTCTGAAAGTCCAGTTCTATTCATGATGCACCAGTATTCCACTTGTCCCCATGTCTGTCTCTATCCAGGGCCCAAAGTTTTAAGAAGAGGATGGTAGGGCCAGCAGGTGGTGTAGTGGTTAAGACACTGGACTCCCACGTGGCTGACCACGGTTCGAGTTCTGGAGCCAGCAGCTTGAAACTCATAGCGGGTGTGTGTGCATGAATGCCCAAAATCCCGAGAGGAGCATGTGGCCATTCCCCCTGGGGGGTGGGGTGGGGTGATTTCTCACTTTCTGTTTGTGTCTGCCAGGCATACACATGCACCCTATAGCAAAAATCTCTTAAAAAAAAAAGGAAAAGAAAAAGAAAAGGATGGCAGGGCAATCTAAGGCTGATTCGGTCTCCTTGAATCTCAAAGACTAGAAGAGAAAGTGGCAAATGTTGGCAAGCCAGTGGCCATAATATCTCTTAATTTGTGGCTCAAAGGTTACATAGTCACCATTTAGATCAGGCACAGGATACCGGGGTTATCAGTGACACTTTGTGAGGAGCTGCAGCCTTGCCACGGGGAGCCTAGAAACGGCACAGATTTAGAGACCAGGACCACAGAACGGACTTAAATGCTCTGTTGTGTGGAGTAGCAGTTGAAACTTTGCACTAAACCATTATAGAATAATATTGCCAACCATTACAGAATAATATTGTTTTTTTAGAGAAAAACATTCAAATAAATTCACATTCTGAGACATTACACTGTTATGAAGGATGAAAAACAGCAGGTCTCCCTCTTTCCTCCATGTCTTCAGTGTCTTCTCTTCATACACACCTGACAGCGACTTATTATTTTTTCTAACTCTCCAGCTTTCACGGTTGATGAAATAGGTTTTCTGAAATAAAAGCAAACCAAAAACTTTACTGATTTATAGACATAAGAAAGATACTTGGTGAGTTTGAGTTTTATTAATGAATACTGTAGCTTTTTGAACTGTTATTACAGAATCATCTTTCTTTTTTATATACCCTTTGGAAAAGGAATATAATGTCAACATTTTAAATTTTAGTTATATTTTAGCAACACTAAGTTAATGTCAGTTTTGATGCAAATGTACAGATCATCTCTTTTGAAATAAAAGCTAACTTCAGTCTTGGGACCAGCAGATGGCATAATGGTTATGTCGCTGGACTCCCATGTAATCGACTGTGGTTCTAGTCCCAGACCTGGCAGCTTAAAATGCATGCTAGGCACGTGTGCATGCATGCCCCAAATCCCTAGAGGAGACTGGAAGAGAAGGGATTGAGGCATAGCTATCCACCCTGGGGGGTGATTTCTTGTTTTCTGTTTCTCTATTTTTCTCTGTCTCTCTGGTGAGCACATGTACCCTAAAGGAAACTTCTTTAGGAAAAAAAAACAAACCAAACCAAAACAGAACTAACCTCAGCCTTTAAATAATCTTGTATTTTTCACAAGTCTTCCAATATAGTAAATTAAGATTAGCAGATCATTTAGTGCTTTTATTAGTAGTTTACTATAAATTGGTACATGAATATGAAGTATTACAGTGATGACAAAATTACGTATTTTTGTCTTTACTGATAAATAATATATAACCATAGCTACTTGTTAACTTGAGAAAGCTTGTAAACCAGGAGTACCATGCAAAAGAGGATTTCATTGGCTTTTTAAAATGTGAATCCATCAACAAACACAGGTAAAGAAAAGCTAACATAGGCAATCTTTGAATAGTTCTGCAATTGAGTCACCGGATTAGGCTTGATGATGAATAGTTACCTGAACATTCGCTGCGGATTCAATGAAGCTAACCAGAAACTGTAGGAATTCGCATAATAGTTGCACGTTCCTCTCCCGTGACACTCTATAAAGGGACTGGCTCGAAATTCTTCCAAGCAGGAGCCGGGGGAGGCCAGCGCTTGCCCAGCGCCCTCCGAACCTGCGCTTGTGAACTGCACAGAAGAAATAACTGAGTAAGAACCTGTCCATTGATGTTCACGTTTCTAATTCTTTACTTTTTGTTCCTCTTTTTTTTTTTTTTTTTGTAACATAAGACAGTAAGAAAAGGAAGGAACCTCCCAAAAGCACGAATTAAACTTCCTGTACTTCTTTATCCCGTTCCAGGTTGAAGCATGGCTATCAGAAAGAAAGGAAAAGCTGTTCCTTCTGCCTGGAAGCTCCTTTTCTTGAGGTCTTACTGGTTCATTGTGCTCACAGTGTTTGCTTAACTGCTACTCCAGACCTTCCTTACCCTCATGCCATCACATTCTCTCTTGTCTCATTTCCCTCACTGCAGCAATCACCATCTGAACTCTTCTCATTATTGTTATTTTCTCTCCTTGCTCATGGTCCATCTTTCTCACCAGGATATAAGTTCCAGGAGAGGAGGAAGTTTGGTGCCTAAGATCCTTAGTGTCTACAGCATTCACGGCCAATGGTAGGAATTTAATACTTATTGGCTGAATTCATGCTGGGTCGATTGCGAGTAAAGAAGGGGGAGTAAAGTGTCAGAATGATGCTTTACAGAATATGAATAACCTCATACGTGCTGCTACAGAATCTCAGGTGGTCAGTCCTCAGACTTCCTCACTGAGTACTTGTTTCAGGGAGATGCTCCTATAAAGGCTGCTTCTCTTAGTTCTCGCCTTCATATGAATATTAAAGGAACACAGAGTGTACAGAACAAAGGTTTTGAGGTGGACAGACCTGGATTCAACTCCTAGCTTTACCAGAAGACCTTGGGGAAAGACTTTGTTCTTATTCGTAAAACTGCAGATGAAAGAAAGGATCCTTCAGCGTTTTCATAAGGATTATGGACAATGTGTATGAAGCTGCTGTCAGATAAAAGGTAGGCGTCCCATTACCAATACAGGTTAGCTGCCGTTCACCTGAACACCACAATGTAGAATTTGTGAGTAATCGCCTCCTGAGACATCTGGGTTTTTATTAAATGCTCTATTATGTACCCCAAACAACCTTAAGTTTTAAAGGACATTTTTTATATTTTCCAGCAAACATCCAGGTTTGCTGAACGTGACCTCAGACTGGAGGCCACATTTTAACTAGCACAATGCAAGATTCCATAGGTAGTGATTACTGTGCATCTTCTGTTCCTTTTCTCCTTACCATGATGAAAGAATATCCTTTCCAGAGAGAAATCCAGCCGTGGGGACATGGGGGGATGTCAGTGGTTTGGCTGTGAACAGCTATGGCAATAGCAGGACCTTCACACACGGTACATCTGTAATAGGGCACAAAACCTATGGTGGCAGTGCCATTTCTGCGCCCAGGACGAGCTGCATTACATTCCCACACAAGGGAGAGAGTCCCCGAGGCCCACTACAGAACGAAGGACTTGGGTTTTTACCTGCTAATGTATGGCTCGAGCGCCTTGCCAGTAATGGGAGCCATGTCCACTGGCATTGGAGCGGGTGTCGACAGCCAGTAGGAATAATCGTTTCGAGATGCAAAATTACACACATCATTGATGTCACAGAATAAGAATGGCATTGTGGTAAATCGCTGCAGGCAACTGCCAAGAGTTCCTAATAAAATACCAGACTGTCATTTCCAGTAATTAAAATAATTTAGAGGATTGTTACTTGATAGAGGTTAATTAAAACACACCCTGCACTCAAAAGTGACCAAAGACAAGACAGAATTATTTGCAAAAAATGGTGTTGGACAGTCTTAATAATGATAGAAAGCAAAGCTCCAGTTGGAAATAAATCCTTCTGACACTGTTAGGACTTCCTGTGGTTCTTTCTAGTCAACCTAGCACTTTATTAGACAAGTACCGTCCCGACTGACATCAGGACAATGTTTTTGCTTTGAAGTATTCCCAGGTTTTCTATGTATCCAACAGCTAATAGTAACCAAATAAAACTTTAGAAAAGATTTTATTTTTGAGATTACGAAGCTGGGTGACTTAAGCGGAAGTTGGATTAAACAGGACAAACTACACTGGCATTCATGAGCTAGGCTCCCTCCGGCATTTCACATTCTGGAAGGAAATTCAGACATTACATTAGGCCAATGTCGTCATCTTTGCTGTCTTGGAAATGTGATGGGAAATATGCAATGTTGTTTACACTTAACTTTTGAGGGAAGTACCCCATGCTATAAAATTTTTCAATTTGCACATGGAATAAAAACAGTAGAAATGAGGACTGGGGCATTACCGAGGTCTTGTCCATGGGCTCGTTCGTTTCCCTGTACAAAAAGAAGAGAAAACCCACTATAGAGTGGCTCTGTCCCTTCTGGACATGACGGTGTCGCTGCTGTTTGACTGTGTCGAGTGAAGACAAAGCCCCTCAGTGCTGTCCTGGTTGCAGGTGGTCCAATATCTCCAGGTTTTCCCTTCAAACCAGGCAATCCGTCTGATCCTGGTGGTCCTTTAAAAAAACACATCATGAATGTTGCAACACAAACAAATCCTGAACTTGTTTTTCTAAAGTGATTATTTAAATGTTTTTATCAGGTAAGCCCCATGTAAGAAAGGAATCCTGGAGAAGAGTGGCTTATACAATGGCCAAGCAAGGACCAGCAAGTGATGTGGAGGTAAAGGCACTGGGTCCCACATGGCCAACGCCACCATTCGAGTCCCAGAATGGTGGCCTGAAAACCACATGGGGTGTGCGGGTGTACGTGCCCAAAATCCCAAGAGGAGAATGGAGGAGAAGGGATTGTGGCATGGCCATCCCCACTGGGAGGTGATTCCTCAACTTTCTCACTTTCTCTGTCTCTCTCTGTTGAGTGCACATACTCCATAACAAAAACTAAGAGGAAAAATAAAGCCAAACACTAATATTAAATATTAATCACTTTATTACATAATGTCTCTTATTGTAAGTCTTTATATGTATTTTATTATGAGTTTTTTGTTTTCTTTTGTTTTAATAAGTCAGGTCTTTTTATTTTTGAAATTCTCTGTGCCTAGCACAACATCCTGTATCTTTTATGAAATAAAGAGGTGTAGTATCAGAGACCAAGAGGTGGCATGGTGGTTAAGGTGCTGGACTCCTACATGTGCAACTAAGGTTCAAGTCTCAGATCTGGTAGTTTGAAAATCACACTAAGTGCATGTGCATGTGTGCCCGGAATCCCAAGAGAATGAAGGAAAAGGGACTGCAGCGTGGCCACACGCCCCTCCCCCAGTGTGATTTCTCACTTTCTCTCTCTATGTCCCTCTCTGGCAAGTATATACATATACTATAGTTAAAAAAAATAAAAAAGGAAAAAGAAAAGAAAAATTGGTACTTTTCACAAGAATTTATATAAAAGTCCTATTATTACATATGTTTTCAGTTTCCTCTGAATTCTGCCCACTCTTGTCTTCTCCAGGGACCTTGATCTATTCTTAGAAATGAAATATAGGCCACATTCAATTTGTTCAAAGCCTTACGTCTTACTTGGAAAATCCAAAATTTCCATGATTTTAGTAAATAAAGAGGAACATGCATTCTTCACTTGTCCCTGCCCCTACTCTCATTCACAGGGGGCTATCATTGGCTCAAAGCATAGTGTCTCCATAGGATTGCAAAGCGAGTCACTGAGCAGGATGGGAATCGGAGGTGTCTTCGTGCAGACATGGGCTGGCCAAGGCTGTTCTGCAGCTCCGAGAAAGGGGCCAAGTGATAATCAGTTCATAGCTTTTGCAGTTGCTCTCTTAGATCCTTCTGTCATTTTTATGAGGCCTCCATAGCATCAGACTATCTTCTTGCTAATAATTCTCAATATAATTTGTAGCATCCTTGTTGTCACTGATGCTCTATTCTGAAACCCAGCCTTGGCCATTAAAGTCTTTCTTTATTTTTAAAACTTATTTAATTAATTTTATTAATTATTATTATTATTGTTTTTAAAATTTGCCATAGGGCACATGAGTTCACCAATAGGAGACAGAGAGGGGGAAAGCGAGAAAGCAAGTCACCAGGTCTAGGACTTAAATCACAATGGGTCACATGGGAGTCCAGCACCATAATCACCATGCCACCTGGTGGCCCTGGCCATTGAAGTTTTTAAAATAATAGAATTATTAGTAAGAGTTTCATTAATAAGCACTCATGACAATAGTAAACCATAAGTAATCATGCATTTGATATTATCATTAACATTTCTAGTATATTTGATTTTTAAAAGATTCTCTAGTCTTTATGGTTTTATTATAGTGGATCTAAGGATATATATGTCAATAAATTGAGAAATCACATTGAGTCAGCAATTCTAAAAATCTAAGATTGGGCATCTAGGCATTTTTTTGGGAAGGGTGCTTTGAAACTTTTGCAGAATAGCCTTTGATTCAGATATCAAACTGATATATGTAGCTTATGTTCAGAACAAAACATTATATTTAAGAGGCCTGCTCTCTGGGACACACACATGAATTGTTGAGTTCTATATAAAAATGGCATAAGTCAAGATGACTTTTCTATGGGATGGCCCTATAGCACAGTGGTTAAGCACTGTGCTTTGGGAGCTGGATCCCACGTGGCTGACTATGTGGTTAGAATCTCAGCCCTGGTGGCTTAAAAAACATTCCCCAAATCCTGAAGGGAAGGAGAAATGAAGGAAAAGGGATTGCAGCATGACTGCATCCCACTGGGGCAAACTCTCTTTAGTCCTCAGTTCTTCTGTCTCTGTCTCTCTCTGGCAAGCACACATGCCCTCTGGCAATTAAAGAAATAAAAAAGACGGCTTTTCTAAACAAAGACACTAAATTGTTTATTCCTGTCAAGGTTAAGATTTTTCTAACTATATATGATATAACACTCCTAAAAGTAGCTATTATTAACTAACAATTCCTATAAATAGAGTCATGCATTGTTGTTTAACAGCAAGGATACATTCTAAGCAATGTGTCATAGGTGTGACTTCATCATCGTGTAAAATCATGGTGTACTTCCACAAACTTAGATGGTATAACCTATTACATACTTCAGCAATATGGTGTAGCCTATATGCTCCTATAGACCACAGTCATATATATAGTTGTGGGCCAAAATATCATTATGCAGCATATTGCTGTAATTAAAGGCAATATTGGCTTTTCTGAAAATAGAGCAGCCGCTTGTGCTTCATTAGTTCTGTTTGTCCCCAGGCTAACCTGTGCATTGGTTAAAAATATGAAGTACATCTACTGAGAGGTGAGAAGAATAGTGAGTTCCAATCATTCTTGATTTTTTTCTATTTTCTTCCAAACGAATGTTTGGTCTTTGGCCTTTGGTCTCATCTCAACAACACAAACTCAAAGACCTAGGTGACGTTTGCAGTCACAAACTCAGACGAGACTTCTCTGTATTGAAACAGCGCTCCTCAAGTGGAGGAAACAGGCTGGGTCTGGTTACCTTGCTCTCCTTTGCGACCTTTGTTGCCTTTTTCTCCCACTGGTCCAGGAATTCCTGGGTTTCCATCCATGCCTGGTTTACCTTTTGGTCCACAGGGTCCTAGACAAAACCACATTGCCTTCATTTGTTAAATAGGGTGAAGGAAGTAGACAGCAATTCCAGTTAATCTGGGACTTTTCCACTTTCAGCCATGAAAGTCCTGGATCCCAGGAAGACCCTCAACCCTGGACAACCTGGGGTGGTTAGTTATATGGCTTGTTACCCCCCATTTCTCAGGGGAAGAAAATAAAAAGACCTTCAAAAATGAACCACGTGTATGTAAGAAATATAGCAGTTTAAAGTTGTGTTTCCATTTTGATTTACGCTCTTAAAAAATTCACTATGCCCATGTGTTGATCCAACTAACAAAGAACATTTCTCATCTCCCGGGTGATTCAGACAGACTTAGAACACTACTGTTCCACTTGGAAGTCTATTACAATATGCTAAGCCTACATAACATGGCTAGTTCAAACACCAATTTTTTTTTTAATTATTTTTTTGGAGACGTTTTTGCTGGACTCCCACGTAGTCGACTGCGGTTTGCGTCCTGGACCCGGTGGCTTAAAAATCACACCAGGCGCGTGTGCGTGCGACCCCAAGATTCCGAGAGGAGAATAGAGGAGAAGGGATTGTGGCATGGCCATCCCCCCTGAAGGGGGGGGGGGGGGATTTCTCACTTTCTGTCTCTGTCTCTCTCTGTCTGGGGAGTGCATGTGCCCTATAGCATAAACCTCTCAAAAAAAATTAGAAAAGTCATCTTTTTTTCCTATGCAAAAAATGCATCTTGACTTTTTGGACAACCCGATCATTGTAAAATGCACCATAATATTTAGCACCTTCTGTCTGTCACTGGCTTCCAAAGCACTTTACAGACATTTTGGTTCAAGTACTCTCTCATGATCCCAGTCAGGGCTTCCCATCCCCATACCTAGGTTTCCGGGTGGCCCTGGGGGCCCAGGTTCTCCTTGCATCCCTGGGCCTCCAGGTGGACCAGGTGGTCCCGGACTTCCTGGCAGGGAGATGATCTTGAGTGTTCCAGGGCTTCCTCGGGCGCCTGTCGACATAAACGTAAGAAGAAGATGGTTTTGTTGCCGAATTACCCTCTCTTGATGGGCAGCAATAAGAAGGAAATAGATCTACCAGGTGGTCCTTTTAGCCCAATTAGTCCCGGAGGTCCAATTGATCCTGGAAATCCTGGATTACCCTTCTCTCCTAAAAAAAAAAAAGAAAAAAATAAAAGAGAAAAAGACAATGTGATTTCACTCCGAACAACAGTCAACTCTAAGTAAGTAACGGAAGTTAAAACTGGAGGGTATGTCCTGTGGATGCTCCAACGGCAGCTGTATCTTCATTATGTTCATGTGGGTGTGAAATTTTATTTGAACCCCGTGGTCATGTTTAGTCAGACTAAAAAGAGATGAGGACGCCGTAAGTAGGCATTAGGGACTTGTACTTTAACACTGAAGGGGAAAGGGGAAGGGTTCTTTCTTTTTTTTTTTTTGGAGAGGTTTTCGCTATAGGGCGTGTGTGCTCGCCAGACAGAGAGAGACAGAGAGACAGAAAGCGAGAAATCACCCCCCAGAGGGGATGGCCACGCCGCAATCCCTTCTCCTCCATTCTCCTCTTGGGATCTTGGGCATGCACGCACACACACCCGGCGTGATTTTTAAGCCACCGGGTCCAGGACGCAAACCGCGGTCGACTACGTGGAAATCCAGCGACATAGCCATGCTGGATGCTAAGTGCTGGTTCCCAGGGGAAGGGTTCTTAAGCACTTGCTTTTTGAATTCAATTTGACACTTAAAGTCAAATTCAAAGTCACATTACAACCTGGTTTAACAGCTCCTGGTAAATTTGTGGTTTGGCTTTCATAGTTACCCACTTTTTCTACTTTACTTACACCCCAAAGTTAGCTATTCAGGAACTCTCCTGAGCATATAGGGGAAATTTATTTTGATATGAATTAACAATGTGGTAAGATTTCTCTTCTGGGACCAACAGTTGGCATAATGGCTGTGTCACTGGACTCCAATGTAGTTAACTGTGGTTTGAGTCCGAGAGGAGACTGGAGGAGAAGAGATTGTGGCATGGCCATCCCCCCAGGGGATGTCTCGCTTTCTGTCTCTCTGTCTTTCTGGTGAGTGCATGTGCCCTCTCCAAAAAAAAAAAAAAAGAAAAAGAAAAAGAAGAAGATTCCTCTTCCTATCATAGTCTATCATAGTCTCTACCCACCCAGTGTCTAGTGAGATTCTTCTGAATCACTTGCATTTATTTATTCTTAGCTAAAATTTTCTCTTTAAAGGGTCAGTGGTTGAAAGTATCAAAAGGACCTCTTTTTAGTCCATCTTGTTCTCCCTTGGCCCTAGAAAAAGTGTTTTTGTTTTGTTTTGTTTTGTTTTTGTTTTTATGAAAACATGGCTTTGCTCACATTGGATACACTAGTGAATTCGGCATCTCTGTAATGTGTGCTAACACATTCCTTGCCAAACAAAAACTGCCGGAGGAATGAGCCCACTGAAACAATGAATCAAATGCCTAAAACTTGAGAATCATTTTCTTTCTCTTTTTTTTAATAATTATGTTATTTGACTTTATTTATTAATTTATTTTAATTTGACCAGAGAGGGCCAGAGTGTGAGAGGGAGAAAGTGAGAAAGCAAGCCACCAGGTCCAAGACTCAAACTACGGTCAGCCATGTGGGAGTCCAGTGCCCTTAATCACCACTCCACCTGCCGGCCCCAGAATTGTTTTCTGAAAGCTGAAGTTTACATTTATTCATGTGAATTATTTTAAACTTAAAACCCTCCAAAAATAAAAGAATTTTTTTCTTTTTGGGGATTGAAAATATAATAATATGCATCATAAAAATACAAAAACATAAATAAAAATTTACTTATTATCCCCCCTCTAGGAGTTTAGTGATTATTTTTAGTTTATTTTTCAGCTTTTTTGGTTTATTTATATTTACATTTAATTTCTGTACATTTTTTACAGCATACAATATGGGTTCTCAAAGCATAAATTCATTACATGTCAAACAAGTCAAAGATCTTACCATACATAATACCTTTCCATTCTTGTGGCTGTTAAAAAAAGTTTCTTCAGCTTTTAAAAATGATAAAAGTAACACGTACCTGTCATAAAGTAAATAATTCCAAAACAATACTATTCACATTACTATGGTTCCCCAGTTCCCATCCCAACTCATCAGTACTCTCAAAGATAACTACTTTAAACTGTCCTGCTTTCTACTTCCTGTGTTTTTAACTTTTAAATGACGGTTTTAATTTTTAAGCTCTGTGGGGTTGGGTGCTGACGACATCTTCCTTCTTTGTGCATATCAAGGCCCTGGCGTACTGACACAGACTGCCCATGGTAACTGCAGGAGCTCAGTGAACATGTAAGTGCTCAGGGACTGTGATTATTGTACTTGCATGTAAAGAACAGCATATGGAAACTCTACCTTTTATGCCTGGAAATCCTTGGAATCCAGGATCACCTCTGAGCCCTGGGAAACCGGGGTTCCCTGGTGGTCCCTATATTTCAAACAAATAAGAGCAGAACCACAGACAAGTTAAAAAATCAGAATATAGTAGTTGTTTTTGAAAGAAAACAAGATGTAATATTATATTGGGTGAGAATTGGCTGAAATGGACGGGCATAATTTTTACCTTTCAATCCAGTGTCTCTCCTGTCTGTGAGTTCTCTGCCACTTAGACTTCTCCTTAAGACTATCATTAAGAGAGGGCCAGCCAGTGGCATGGTGGTTAAAGTGGCTGGACTACCCCTTCCATCCATGGCCAACTGTGCAGTTCAAGTCCCACATCCAGTGGCTTGAAAAATACTCTTGGTGCTCAGGCATGCACGCCCACAATCATGACAGAAGTGGAGGAGAGGGGATTGCAGTGTAACTATCCTCCAATGAGGGGTAAAGGACAATGCTTTCTCACTTTCCTTCTCTCTCTCTCCATGGCTCTCTGGATAATACATGTGCCCTCTAGAAAATTTAAAAAAAAAAAAAAAAAAAAAAAAGAAAGGAAAAAGAAAGACCAGCGTATGGTGAAATGGTTACATTGCTGGACAACGTAGTCGACTGTGGTTCAAGTCTCAGACCTGGTGGCTTAAAACTCACACTGGGTGGGTGTGCATGTGTGCCCAAAATCCCTAGAGGAGAATGGAGGAGAAGAGATTGCAGCGTGGCCATCTCTCTGGGGGGTGATTTCTCGCTTTCTGTCTCTCTTTTTGGCGAGAGCACTGCTGCCCTATAGCAAAACTCTAAAATAAATAAATAAATAAATAGGAAGAAAACTGCCCTTTGCCCAAGAACAAACATATCTTCTAATGTTAGTGTCTTATTTCAGTATTGGATATAACTGGCTATTCTGTAGCCTAGGTGGAATTGCACAGTACCTGGGGATTTTGCAGAAGAGCAGGCACCAGACTGCCAGAACGAAAACTCTAATTTGCATTTGCTGTGTTTATAATCTTTGTAGACAGGGGACCTACTGTTGAGTTGCAGCACTGAAGCATCATTCAAACCAAACTGGCAGAATAATAAAGTATCTTCTGACCAGAGTGGAAGGAGAATAAAATGTCCATGTAAAAGGCTATACGCTAATGCATATATTAAGTCTACGCTTAGATTGTTCCATGAATTGAGATAGAATGTTGTTACTTGAAAGCAATGAGCTGATGATCATGAAAAATGCAAAGAACAAACCTACCCTTTGAGCCAGGGGCCAGAGGAGCAAGAAGGAACGATCCTTTTGCCCAGACAGGGTTGTGAGAGATTATATAAAGGAGGGAGAGAAATCAGAACCTTCTGATGAAGACTTACTGGCATCAACTAGAGTGGAGAGCCTATTGCCAGGCCAGCCCATGGGTGGGGAAGGAGGTGTTCCATGCAAGGAGAAAGAGTTGTTAAGGGCTCTGAGCAGCTTAGACATCCCTTGAGAAGAATCTTTTTTCAAGTCCAAGTGTAGACATCTATGACTGACTGGAAAGCACTAGGGGTTTGAAGTAAGATCATGTTTCTGAGCCAGGCTTTCTACATCCCTGTGTCCTCAGGAGGAACTTAGACGTGAACTTAGAACTCGAAAATGTTGCAATTTTCAAGGAACCATGGAGAAGATGAAAGGCACCTATAGCCTGGAGTTGGGCAAATATCTCATATTTGAAGCAATTATTTTTTGGGTAGGGGCAGCAGGTGGCATAGTGGTTAAAGTGCTAGACTCCCATATGGCCAAATGTGGTTTGAGTACTGGATCTGGGAGCATGAAACTCATGTCAGGCATGTGTGCATGCCTGCCTAAAATTCCAGGAGGAGAATGGAGGAGGAGGGATTGTGGCATGAGTATCCTCCTGGGGGAGGGGAAATGATTTCTCCCTTTCTCTTTTAGTGTCTCTCTCTCTCTTGCATGCACACACACCCTAGGGTAAAAACCTAAAATAAATAGGTAGATAGATATAGATAGATGATAGATAGATAGATAGATGATAGATAGATGATAGATAAGTAGTAAATTCTAGAAACCAAACACTAAGAGAGCTTAAGATGACTCCTAATGACAAGCCATGCCAGAGTACCCCATCACCAGGCACTGACGATGTTAGAGGAGGAAATGGGAGTTCTCTCACAGACGTTCTGCACATCCATGTAAGTGGTCAAAGCACAGATTACTCTGATGTCTCTGTGGACCTAATGACTGCTGCACAGGGCGGCCAGAATTGAAAGCCTGATGAACGGCCGGATCGAAAGGCAGCTAAAGAAGGGATTAGTTACAATTTGGAGAGAGAACTCTGGGCATACTAAGCTCCTTGTAAATGTTTCTGGGGAAAACAACAACAAATGATGTCCTGTGTCTTAGTCTGTAAAACCAGCCCTCTGCAACCTAACCCGAGCTTAGCCCTCCAGCTTCAGCTAGATGTGGCCTCAGGCTCCGTGTGTTTCATCACTCACAACTTACCATCGGTTTGCTCTAAAAACTCCTTTCCTCCCAGATCCCACTCCTAGATCCCATTCCTACTTTTCTTTTTTCCTGGATAACTTCCATGCATCTTTCCAAACAGCCTAGGCACCATTTCCCCAAGGAGAAACTCGTTCTAAGCACTTTCCCTCCACGGACCTGATTAAATCCCTTTCTTCCGCATCCCTTCATCCTCTGCCCTTTTTCTTATGACATGAAAATGGCCTGTCTGCATCTATCAAGGCAAAGGACTGTGCCCTTAACATTTCTCTACCCATGGGTACTCAACAGACATCCGATAATTTGATGAAAACAGAGGAATCGGCTTATCGAATATACTAAGAGAACGGTAAGAAAGATGGTCTTGGTGTTCGAGGAAGAGACTATGAAGTGAGAGCTCTTAGGCTGAGACCATGGGCCTAAATGAATGAGATGATGTCCAAGAAAGAGAAATGTCAAAGTTTTGCACTTCCATAACAAACAAACGTCAACAACAAAAAGCTAAACAAGAAATGATGGAGAAAATCTAATAGGTTCATGAGGAAAAGCCAAACACGCTGTAGTGATTGTAAACACAAGGCGGGACACTAATACGGTTGACGGGAAAGCCAGAGTCCAAGCGGGACTTCAGGTCGAATCTTCTCTACTGAAGCCACTCACTGAGTGCTGACTTCTTGTTTCTTGTGGGTGTTCATGCCAGGGGCTGCTTTTTAATTTCTTTTCTCTTTTTTCTTTTCTTTGCTTTTCTTCTTTCTTTTCTTTTTTTCTTTTTTTTTTAAAGAGAGATTTTTTGCTATAGGGTATGTGCTAGAGTGACACAGAAAGCGAGAAACCACTCCCCCAGGGGGATGGCCATGCTGCAATCTCTTTTCCATTCTCTTCCTGGGATCTTGGGCATGCACACACATGTGCTTGGTGTGAGTTTTAAGCTGCCAGATCCAGGACACAAACTGTGGCTGACTACATAGAAAGAAACAATAGCTACTTACAAACACTGGGCGGTATGTCTTGGGAAGGAAGTAGACAGACATTTATAGAGGGCACAGACAACTTGAAAAGTATGCTAATAACAGAGGGGAAAAAACCAACCTCTTCCAGAATATCTGAAAATTCCTACATACCGTTGTGTTTTTTGTTTGTTTGTTTTTTTAGAGGTTTTCGCTATAGGGCACGTGCGCTCGCCAGAAAGACAGAGAGAGACATCCCCCATGGGGGGTGGTCATGCCACAATCCCTTCTCCTCCATTCTCCTCTCGGGATCTTGGGTATGCACACACACGCACCCGGTGTGAGTTCTAAGCCACCGGATCTGGGATGCGAACCACAGTCAACTACATGGGAGTCTAGCGACATAGCCATTATACTAACTGCTGGTTCCCCTAGATACCGTTTTAATCCTCCATCACTGGAATTGTTCAGAGTCTACACAAGGGTTGAGAGTACTATAAAGGGGAATCCCATATAGTTCTAGAGTCTGAATCTTTCTGTTACAGTTCTTTGGTTTCCTAAATATGAGTTCTGTCTTCACATAGGCACGTGCACAGATGTATCATGAATGGTGCATAATTTTGCTGCCTCCAGGTACATCTGATTCTGGCAACCAATTTACAAGACTATAATATCTTGTATTAATAATGCACCAATATTAATAAAATTAACAATATACAAGAACAAGTCAATATTGACAATATACGAGAACAAGTCAAAATTAATAGTAAGTCAAAATAAGTTTTTGCACTCACCGGATAACCTGGTGGCCCCTTGTCTCCTACAGTTCCAGGTGGACCTTGGGGGCCAGGGGAGCCCATAAATCCTTTGTCTCCTTTTATGCCTTTTACATGACTCCCCGGAGGTCCGGGTGGGCCGGGCTCACCTGCATTCACAAAGAGCCTGTCAGGATTGCCAGTAAGGGACTGGGAAGGTCGCATCAGTGATCCTTTCAAGCCCAGTGCAAACTCCAGCCTCATCATGACCGCACACATTCTCAGCCTTGGGGCACGCCATCCACTCATGGTAGAGGAGGGCGAAATGCCATGAAGCACCTGGCATGAGCAGGCACTGCTTCCTGCTGGTGAAGGGCTGCCCAGGCAGGGGCTATGCCTGCTTCCCTAGTGGCTAGGCCTGGGAACTGACACACAGTAGGACTGCAATAAATATAGGTTGAAGGGATGATTCATTCTGTTTTAGTATCATCCGATATCTACTAGTCTAATCAGGCTGCTCGGCCTCAACACCACCAGCTGGTTTACCCACTCTGTGTGCTAACAGGGGAGGATGGGAAGAATGGAGAAGGCCAGAGGAAAAGAGGAAGCTCTGAAGTACTGGGAGACGGTTGAAAAGTCTTGATGCCAAATGTTAATTTCACTCTTACGTTCTTTAAAAGTGACCGCTGTACCTGGGTTTCCCCTTGAGCCTGGAGGACCTCGGTTTCCTTTTTGGCCAGGGATGATGACACCAGGCAAACCAGGTAGCCCTGGGGGTCCTGGGATGCCCACAGGTCCTTGAGACCCAGCATCTCCTGTTGGTCCTTTCCTGCCGGGGAGGCCAGGTAAGCCTGGGGCTCCCTTGTCTCCTTTGGCTCCTGTGAAGAAGAAACTTCATAAATTTCTCGAATAAAGTTATGGTTTGTGGTTATCGCTAATACCTATAGGCACTTTGCTTAAAATGTATATTTTAAGAGATTTTTGCTTAAAATATATATTAAAATATACATTCCTTAAAATATATTTTTTAAGAGGTTTTGACCTTAGAGCACATGCTCTCGACAGGGGGAGAGAGACAGAGAGACAGAGACAGTAAGAGAGGAAGTGAGAAACACCTCCTCTCTTGGAATGGCCACACCGCAATTCCTTCTCCTTCATTCTCCTCCTGAACCTTGGGCATGTATGCACATGCACCCGACATGCTTTTTAAGCCACCAGGTCTGGAACTTGAATGGCAGTTGGCCATGTGGGAGTCCAGCAACGTAACTGCCACACCGTCTGCTGGCCCACACAATGTGTGTATATATTTTAGAGAGGCTGGCTAGTGAGGGTTAGGTCAACGGGAAATGAGTGGAGACCCACCTCTGCCTTCTCCTAGCCATTTGAGCTTGGCAAAGTCACTTTGTTACTATACATTCTATATGTGTGTGTGGATGTATGCATGTATGTATGTATTTTCTTTCTTTCTTTCTTTTTATAAAGGATTTTGCTATAGGGTGTGTATGTTCATCAAAGAGTCAGAGAGAGGGAAAGTGAGAAATCACCCCTCAGGGTGAATGGCCACACCACACCTTCTCCTCCATTCTCCTATCAGGGTTTTGGGTATGCATGCATACATGCCCAGTATGATTTTGAAGCTGAAGTCCAGGACTCAAACTGTGGTTGGCCATGTGGGACCCAGTGCCTTAACCACCAGGCCACCTGCTGGTCCCTCAGATTTCTTTTTTATAAAATGAAAGCTGGGCTAGCCTGTGGCCTAGTGGTTAAAGGAACCAGATTCCCTGTGGCTAACTATGTGGTTCAAATCCCAGCCCTGCTAGCTTGAAAAGAACATCAAACACATACGTGCACATGCTCAAAATCTTGACAGGATGGAGAAATGGAGAAGAAAGGATTGTGGCATAATTACTCCACGCTGGGATGGGATGGGGGTGCCTTCTCCCTCTCTTTGTCTCTCTGTTTCTGGCAAGCTCACTCACCCCAGAAAATTTTTTTTTTTAAATCAAGGCAATACTTTCCCTAGTTTAAAGATTAAGTAAGATATTCCACAGATGGAAAAGCATATGTAAAGTGTTATGTAAATGTAAGCCACAACTGTGATCTGATGAACTTTAGGTACCATGACATTATCTAGTCACTTATAATTCAGCAGAGCATAAAAAGCCAAGCTGGGGGGCACTGTCGGTGCTTCTGAAGGGCTGTGCAGCTAACCTAGACACAGGAGCCAAACATGCAATCTCTCTGCTGTCTTCAGGCTCATTCTCCCCAGAACACAAACGCTATGTGGAGAGGAACGAATGCAGTAGTAGCTTTGGATTTCCCAAAGATCCCTAAAAGGTCACAAGGTGGGTGGGAATTGCCAGAGGGTATGCATGCTTGTCAGAGAGGCAGCGGGGAGGGAAACTCGTCCCACATTTCTCCCTCCTCTCGGGATTCTGGGCACATGCGCACACATGCAGAGTGTTTTTTAAGCCATCAGATTTGGGATTTGAACTGAACAGTTGGCCATGTGGGTTCCAGTCACCTTAGTCACCACTCCACAGCCAGCCTCGTACTGATATTTTTCAGTTCCAGAAAGCTGCAAGAAATTCTGTTTTGACATTTATGAATGAAAACTATTGTGTGAACTGAAAATAATCTCTTTTTCTTTCCCATCTCTTGCTATTCTGGAAATAGTGGCAATAAGATTGGAGACAAATGTAAGGAAGGAGAGAGGCAAGTGAAGATGAGGCTGGTGGTTCAAGAGAAGGCTCTGGAAGGTGTTAGGTGGTGAGACTAGAGTGATGAGAAAAATAAAACCGATGAATATTAATATCTAGCCTGGGACTGTTAAGATTCTTTAGCACTTTAATGCCCATAATTTATTTTGCTTTCTAAAGACTGTGTTAAGATGCTTTCAGCTCTGTAATGCTGTCTTTGTATGACAGTGGTCTGCAGGGCCAAGATGTCTGGGGTTATACATTCCTAGTTCATTAAAATGATTACTTGTTTAGCAGTGTACAAATACAGTTTCTTTTGAGGATTTTGGAGAGTAAACAAATGACGAGGATTCATAACTTCCACCTCTTAAGAAACTCATCTCCATATTCAGTTAGCCTAGAAGACTGAGGCATGCAATCATTTATTTACATAATTAAGCTATTTGTTATTTTCAAGACTTTTTTTTTTAACCTTAGGTATGACCATTTTGTATTGGATTTTTATTTCCAACTAAATACTACAGTGTTCTCTTTCCAAAGGTGAACTTCATCTAAAAACAGGAACAGAAACTCTTCTTTTGACCACTATTTTAAAAGTAGACTGTGGATCAGAAAAAGGTTTTTTATTTGTGCTCCGAGGGGAGGAGGGGTCTGGGAGATATGGGAACATTTTGCTGAATCCAAAGGACAATCAACCGAAGAAACAGATGGAAGAGAATTGCTCTCTTCTTTCATACTTTGGTTGTAACATTGAGGCAGTTCCTTCCACGTGAGCATTTCTGTAGCATCAGGCTACCCTGCTAATTCTCAGGAGCATCAGAGAGACAGGCCTACACTGAGCTTAGACTTCTGCTAAAGAAATACTGCTACCCACAGAACCCCAGACTGAGAAGAGTCAACAAAAGTGCAAATGATCTATTACTCCTGCAGGTATCTCTACAGAATGGAAAGAGTTAAAATAAGTTGCCTTAGGGCAGGCCATGTGTAGCGTAGTTGTGAAGGGAGCTAGATCTCCTGTGGCCTACCAACCACAGTTTGAATCCGGACCTACTGACTTGGAAAACATGCTTAATGCCTGTGTGTGCACACCCACATCCAGACAGGATGGAGAAATGGAGGAAAAGGGATTGAGGGGTGACCACACCCCACTGGGGGGTGTTCTCTTTCTCTGTTTCTCTGTCTTTCTCTGATGAGCACGTGTGCCTTCTTGCAAATTTTTAGAAAAAGAAGCTGCTTATCTTGCCAAACATTGGCATGATACTTGCAGTCTGCCATAGGGCAGGCGCCACCACGCCCAGATACTTGCAATCTGTTAAACAAAAAACTTACATACAGGGTCTTCAAAATGTCATGGAAAATGCATGTTATGAAATAATTATGTGTAGATTTCAAACTTTTATTCTAATTTTCCACAAACCTTCGAAGTCCCCTTATACTGTGAATAATATGTTTAGGAAATAGCCTTGTCAGAGAGATGAAGAGATACTCTCATTACCACTTAATAAACGGCATTGGGGACCATGTCGCTGGAATCCCATTAGTCAATTGTGTTTTGAGTCCCAGACCCGGCGACTTAAAACTCATGCCGGGTGCATGTAGGTGCATGTACATGCGTGCCCAAGATCCTAGGAGTATTGGAGGGGAAGGGATTGCAGTGTGGCCATTACTCCAGGGGGTGACTTCTTGCTTTCTGTCTCTCTGGTGTGCACACGTGCCCTATAGCAAAAACAAAATACAAAAACAAAACAAAACAAAACAAAAAACAATGGCATGGACCACAAGCACAGTCTCAGGTGAATCTTACAGGAAAGGACTGGTGGGACCAGCAGTTGGCGTAATGGCTATGTGGCTGAACGCCCACATAGTCGACCACATTTCAAGTCCCGGACCTGGTGGCTTACACTCACACTGGGTGTGTCTATGTGCGTGCCCAAGATCCTGAGAGGAGAACAGAGAAGGGATTGCTGCGTGGCCACTCCCCTCCTGGGGGTGATTTCTCGTTATCTCTCTGTCTCTCTCTCTTTCAGGAGAGTGCACGCACCCAATAGCAGAAAAACCTCCCCAAAAATAAATAAATAAATAAATAAATAAATAAACAAACAAAAGGAAAGACTGGCATTAAGACTACATCTCAGAGTACGAAAACCTCAAAAAAAAAAAAAGACTACATCTCAGAGTAGCAGGGAGGGATGCTATTAAGAAGTCATGAATTCACCTCCATTTTCTTGAGGAGCTGATACATTTAAACCATGCTAACTATAGCAAAGACAGTACATACGAATTAGTTTTATTTTTAAAGACTTTCATAGGAAGAAATTCCAAAATTGGATCACAGTTCCTAATGAGCTCCCTTCATTCTGATGGTAATCATTTAATCTTTGTAATTGACTGACAAAATTACAAATATGAGGGGACTGCAAATATTTGTGAAAAATGGAATTAAAATGTGTTTGTTTATTTTGGTGCAAAAATGTTTCTGAAATCCATGTATATGTTTTTTCACAATATGCGTTTTCCATGAAAATTTGTAGGCACATATATACATGTGCTGGAGTGCTTTTCCAGCCACTGGGCCCAGGACTTGAACCATGCAGTTTGCCCTGTGGTATTTAGCTGCCTTAACCCCCATGCCACCAGTTGGCCTTCCATGAACTTTTCAGAGTCCCCTCCTATCTCATATTACCACTGAGACATCTTCAATTCACTAGGCTGAGTTTATTGTATATGTCAAGCATATTAAACTGGATTCTGGTCTTGGAAACTCCTATCAGCATGTCAGGGAAGAAGAACTGCTTACCTCGATCACCTGGTTTCCCTTTCGGGCCTGGATGTGCTGCCAGCAAACCTGAAAAAGATAATTTTATCATATTACTATTTGGTTAATTTAATTACTGCACACACACACACACACACACATGAAATAATTTTATCACACACCAAGAACATATTAAAGATCATCAGTTTCATCAAAGGATCTTTTTTATTTTAATTTTTAAAATTATTCATTTATTTATTGCACTTTTTATATATTTTACTTCCTTTTTCCCCCCCTCTCTTGCTTCAGAGCCATAAATGATTACAACGTCATTCATGATTCTATCATAAGTGCAATTAGTCTATCAAAGATAACAGCCAAGCTATACCCGGTTCTCCTTTTTCTCCAGCCGGGCCAGGAATTCCATCACGACCTTGGTTACCTCTTATACCCATGGGTCCAGGAGATCCAGGGGACCCTGGAGGGCCTGAAAAAAAAGAAAAAAGAAAAAGAAAAGAAAAACTATGACATTTTAATATAGGAATTCTTAACTTTTTTTTTAATTTGTAAATTAAAAAAATTGCCAGAAAGTGTGTGGGCCTGCCAGAGAGAGAGAGAGAGAGACAGAGACAGAGAGACAGGGCAGAGGGAGAAGTAGAAGGCACCGTCCATGCATCCATGGGGAATGGTCATGCTGCAGTTCCTTCTCCTCCACCTCTCTATCCTGTCAAGCTTTGGGGCATGCACACACACACACACACACACACACACACACAGAGCCATGTTTTTCAAGCTACCATGTCTGGTATACCCACGCTAAGATACAAGCCGTGTGGCCTGCCTTGTGGATGGCTCCTCTAACTGCTCGGTCACACGGCTGGCTCGGGAGCACTTATTTTCTACTAAAGTCCTAATGGGAGTACTGGGGAGGTACAGAGAGCCTGATGAAAGGTGTTAGTTTTTCTAAACTGCAGTTTTGTGAAGCTAAGTTCATAGTGAAAACTATGCACAGATTAATGGTGTCACAAAGATCACTCTGGAATGCTGAGGTTGGCAGATATTTAAATTAGACAGACATATCTAACTTCACTCTTCTGCATTTTTATAGGAGTACTGAGTAGCTGAGACTCACCTCCTAAGAGGGATCGATATACAGAGATTCTAACCTCAGGAGAAAATGTGCCTACCTCATGGAAAAGAAACAGAGAAAGCATAAAAATGGAACCTGGAGGGCCTTTCACTCCTGGAGGGCCCGGGAAGCCTTTGAGTCCTTTAAACCCCAAATCACCATCAGGACCTGGCTTTCCTAGAAATGAAGAGAGAGGAAGAAAAAAATAATTAACACCAAAAAATAAATGATTACAACAATGACTGGAACAGTGAGTTCTCACATCAACTATGCTCAAACTAGCCACAGGGAAGCTCTCTTGTTACAGGTCACCCCAGGCTTTCGTCCTAACTGCTGTGCCCCCAGATTGCCACAGTAGAGATGTGTATACCTCAACCACGTGTCACTTAGTATCTAACTTACTGTTTTAATTGGGAATTAACTGACAACCCACTGAACCTTTCAGTGTTCGAAGAGAGAGTTTAAATACCATTTTTAAGACCCAAAGCTGCAACCCCATAGTTAAGAAGTTATTTTAGTAACACAAAACAAAAAATCAAACTGAAATTGTAAGCTGATAGATAACATAGAAAGCCAAAATTCAAGAGGAAACATGCCAGAGAAAAAGATTCAGAGCGACAGTGTTAATGTGTTGAACTATGGTCCTCAAATTCTTGTGTTGAAGTCTTAGCAGGAAAGAAACTTGGAATGTCACGGTATCTTGAATAGGACCTTTAAAGAGGCAATTAAGCTAAAATAAGGTCACTAGGGTGGGCCCTAAGCCGATATGACTGGTGTCTTGCTAGACACAGACACACAAAGAGAACACACAGGGAGAAGACATGGGCCAAGGAGAGAAGTCTCAGAGGAAACCAGCCCCACCAACACCTCCATCTCGGATGTCTAGCCTCCAGAACTGTGAGAAAGTAACTTTCTGCTGTTAAAGCCACCCAGTCTGTGGAATTTGCTATGGAAGCCCTTGCAAACTTATACAGACGTTCTAAGATTGTGCAAGGAACTAACATTTCATGCCTTTAGGCTGAATGCATTGAGGCAGCACTTCAGAAGTTTTGCTTACTTCTGGAGCAGGTTTTGATATAGATTCCAGTGCACCAAATGGCTAATTCATTTGCTGTGTCCTAGTGTCTTAGTATTTGAAGTTCAAAGTTGAGTAAAAACTCCTGTCGCATGAAGACATAACTAGCTTTCTATTCACTGAGATGATTCCAGGAAGTAAGGGCCATACTACAGGGGGTGCTTCCAGCTTTCAGAATTGTAAAGCCAAGGCTCACCTGGGTGGCCAGGACTCCCAGGACTCCCAGGGACTCCCTCAGATCCAGCAGGCCCCGAATGTCCAGGCAGGCCAGGTGGCCCTCTTTCTCCTTTCTTTCCCATGTCACCTGGCAATCCTGGATCCCCCTTAAATTCAGTCAAACACCTTTAAAATTCTCATATAAGCAGGACATGTGATTAGAATTAAGTAGAAATTTCATTCATTCATTCCTCAATTCATATTAAGCGTCTACTATATGCCAATACCATGTTAGGTGTTGGGAACAGGAAGGCCCCATGGTGTGGGGACCCAGCGCAAAATGAACATGTGGCTTTCTTTAAAACAAATTCTTTTGTTTTTCTTTCATAATTTCAAGACATCAACAGTAGAGCAAGAACCAAGCATGGGGGTTCTTAGCGTGGGCCGTCTGTGACTTCATGGAGTGCATACCTATGAAGCTACCTCTCACGAGGATGGACTGGTGAGATATGTCATATGCAGTTATGATGTATCAGTCCCTGCCTTTGTGAAGCTTCAGAGACCATGGAGACACAGATAATCACACAATTGTATAATTAGGAATTGCGGGGTAAGGAGGGACCCAAATGCGTTTTGTCCTACAAATACTACACATGCAGATCAATATGTCAATGACATGTTTAAAAACTCTTTCAGTAATTCAGTAGTCATTAAATCTGTACTTCAGCTAAATCGGAACACATGGGTTTGATGGAGACTTAAACATTTCCATAGTAGCTGTTTAAAACACAGTACTTTGTTACTATGATTTGCTGCCATGAGAAAACCAGCTCCTTCCATCCTCGATGTATAGTTCTAGAAGTTTCTTCTGGTGGTTATCTATGAGAACTCTAAATCTAAATGAAACTATTAATGAACCGGATGTGGATGAAGTAAAACAGGATTCCTGATATGGAAACACATGGACAGGAGTCTTTTTCTGCTTTTTCGAGCAACTAGTGTAAATACGAAGTACAAAGGAAATTTGTGCTTCAAATTATTGAGTTCTTAGGTATGTGTATTATCTAAAATTTTTTATTCTTGTTTTAGCAATTACTACTGGAGAATATGGTTGCTGGCAACCCTCAGGAAAGGCGATATTTTATTGGTTCCAAAAAGGGAGAAGTTTCTCTCAGTGACAATTTTATATGTTTTGGAGTCTCGTGTCTTCGAAAGTTCATTAAAAATGTTTATTATGAAAAAGCCATGCATAAATTTCAAGTATTTTGGCATAAAAATAAACCTGTACTTTAATTCATTTTTTCATAAACTCTTAAAAACCCCCTTATTCTCTTGAAAATCTAATAAAATGTATAGATTCTCTCCTCCAAAAATTTGCATTCATGCATTTTGCATTCAATTTCAGGAGATTAGGGGGCTTCTTGGGGTCCTGCATATTTTGCTGGGGGTCCATGGAATTCCATGCTAAATCTCCTGCTTACTGAGATTTTTATTACCTGAAATTTTCTCTACTGGTGTAGCTCCAGCTCTCAGTGTAATTGCTATATGCAAAAAGGTTGGAAGGAAATAAACCTAAATGAGCAACCAAGCCCTACCAAATCATTTGGCTGTTGCTTCACAATAACACACTAGTGAGGACTCTGACATCCAGCCTCCCTTTCAAAGAGCACAAGCCAAGTACACTGAGACAAAATTAAAATATTCTGATAATGGAGTGGAAATACTGAAACAATAAGAAAGATAACCAAACAACTCAAACAATTAAGATAGATAAATTAGGATTTTGTTTGCTTTTTAATGATGTTCTAAAGTTATTTTATTTTGATTATTTTATTATAACCTAGTAAGACCAGTGTTTTTGACTACAAGGTTTGGAAGTTTGTTTTCATAAATGAGATGAGTGTGTAGTTTCGACTGGACATTTTATGTCACTGTCTTGTCGACGTGTATGTGGACTTGTAATTACTGCCTCCTTCTGGAGTGAAAATTAAATTGCAGGGAAGTGAGAAATGTCTTTGCGCTTGAAACAGACTTTCTGTGAAACAGACTTTTAGAAGTTGATGACTATTTGATAATCAGGCATCCTCAGTTATAAAGATATGATTTTTAAAAATTTAACTAGTCGCCTGGAAGCATAAAAATATTCCCCCTCTTTTCTACCCATATTGAATTTGGATACCATTAATATTTCAAGCTTGGTGGTAGACCAAGATGTAGATATTTCAGTGGCTTATATACCTTCAATCCTGGTGGTCCTGGTATTGTACCTTCTGAGTAGCCTGGCTCTCCCTTGTCTCCTTGGAAACCATGAATACCTGGGAGGCCTGGTCTTCCAGCTAAACCTGGAAGTCCCAAAGTTCCCTTCTTCCCTTTAGAACCTGAAATTAGGAAAGGCATTCGGTAAGATAGATAAACATGGACACCTTGAAGTGTTCTGCTTTTGACCTTTGCATAAACCACTCTTCTCCCAAGAAGCTAGTTTTCTAGAATCACAAATGCAATCAGGTAGTTATAGTGGATAATATTTACACAACATAAATATCTACCTTATTCACACACATTCTAGTTTCACATAGTATATTTTTTTAATATGTGAATCTAGTTGTTTTGTACACAAACTTTCTATCAAATGGAGGAACAAACACGCAACTTGGAAAATCTAGAATTGGGCCCCATCATGAGCATGTCGGCTCATCACAGGGTGCTTGGTACTACCTGGCACACCCATGTTCCCCGTGCTTCCTGGCACGCCACGTGGTCCCGGTTCTCCAGGATTTCCAGTGCTGCCCAGATCTCCTTTGGGGCCTTGAGAATGAATAAACAGTCATGTGTCTTGTGCAGTTCTTGAACATAGTAGGTGCTCCACAAGTATTTATTGCTTGCATGAATGAATGAGTCCTGAGCAGCCTGGTCCACTCAGGTACTTGTTTAGCTGCCTTTTCATCCTCAGGTAAGGAGGGGACTGAGGACTTAGAACATGTAAAACTACAGGAAGTTACAGTCTTGAAACTTGTTAGATTGAAATCCGGTAGACCTGGATTCAAACATCAAAGTCACCCTAAGGCCAGCACCAGCAGAAGAGTGAGCTCCTGAGATCATAGAGTATAATATTCCCAACCTCATACTGAAGTCTTATTGCCAGATAATGTATTGGGTTATTGGAAAAGTCATGACATATTTTTTTCTGTTTCTCTATGTAAAAAATGCATCATGACTTTTCAGACAATCCAATGTTTTGTTACTGATGTGATTGTGAGGAATAGTGAGTTACTTTAGTTGTTTAAAACAATATTTTATAAACCCAGTAACTTGTTTAAGAATGAAAGGCAAATCTGTAGTCCTCTAAGGCATTGTCTTATTTTCATGGCTGATACGTGATCGTGTGATAGATTATAATTTATAATACATATCAGCTATTCCAAAACAAAATTTTGAGTACAAAATGAAACTATGTGGAGGTTAATATTGTTAAGTGAATACATGCCAAGTATAAGCGCCGTCATCTCAGTTTAATTTAAAAGCAAATTTCTCTTGGAACAGAATTCATACACAGTATGCTAAATCTAGAAACGAGCTTTATTATGTCATAAAAACATAATAAGAAAATTTAAAACCTACTATTTCTAGTAGAGAGTCAGGTATACCTGGTGGACCTGGTGGTCCAGGTGGTCCCTCGAGGCCTGGTAAACCTGGTATCCCTGGAGTTCCTCTGTCTCCTTTTTCACCCAGTCTTCCTGTGAGTCCTAAAGACAAACACCAGGTATTACAAATACAGACTACGGTCAGCCATGGTGGCACAGCAGTAACGCAGTGCTCCATGATGCTGAGAACACATGGGAAGGCTCTGGGTTTGCATCTCAAGGCCTCACTGTGCACTTGGGCATATGCATGTGTGCCCGTGATCCAGGCTGGCTGAGGCAGAGAGACGGTCATGGATAAGGACTCTGTCAGGGGTGCTGTCAGTCTGTC